CACACACACACACACACACACACACACACACACATAAATAAATAAATAAATTTTTTTTAAAAAGTCACTCCTGGGCTTTGGTGATTATGATGCTTATTTTACTTGTAGACAGTTACTTTGGAATTGTAAAATGTCTTCCTGTTCTTTTTAGATAGCCAGTGTTTCCTCAGGAGCTTTAATCCTGTAAGAAACTTCCAAAAAGATGTGTTTGATTTAAATGAGGTCCCATTTTAGGCAGGAGGATCTTTAAATAACATTTGCTTTGCAGGGTTGTAGGCCGTGAGAGCCAGAATGCTGTCACCTGGTTGTGGACTCAGATGGCCAGGTATCAGAAGGAAAATGTCCTCATGCTCGTGGGATTGCTTTGGGTCTGAGACCTAGCCAATGACTATAAACATATTGTACATTGGAGTCTTTACTGTAACTGGCAAGGTGTGCTACTTTGGACACCCCACCCTGTCCCTTAGGCCCACTGTCTACTAGCCAACATTGTCATGCTAGGAAAGTACTTCCTTGGGCCTCAGGGACCCCAAGACATGTGTAGGGCACAGCCTGTTCTGAGTGTCCCGTCCTGTCCTGGGACAGCTCCACCCTCCCAGGGCCCCCTGTACCTGCACCCCACCTGCTGTGGGCTCTGCAGGTGCTCAGCATGGCGGGAATTGCACACCGCAGGCCGGCCCACTCTGCTGTCCCTGGCTGTCGCAAGTGCCTGGAGCTAGGGAAGTGGAAAGGTGCCGAGAGCAGCCGAGGGTCTTGTGCCAGGCGCCTTACCTGGCTTGGGGGTCGCCGAGGGCACAGGGCCACTGGCGATGTGTGCAAAGCAGAGGCTAACAAAAGGCAGATGGAGGCTTCAGAGGTGGGTTTGTCTGCTCCCCAAGGCGACACAGAAGGGGTCCCTGAGAGCCCTGCCAGGCGGGAACAGGCACAGCATTTTCCTGCCATCACTTTGTGCGGTCTGTAGGGCTGTTTTTTCTCAAGGAGCTGTGGAATGTCTTGAAATAGGAACCTGTGCTCTTGTTACTTTCATCTCTGGCCACAGTGGCGCCAAATGAGCAGGCAGGAATGATGGATAGCTGTGTGAGTCCCCATCTCAGTCTCCTCACATGTTCTGGGAATCTCCACATTCCCGGCACGGGGCTCAAGTCTGCGTAGGCGTCCATCTGCAGCTGGGGCGATTGCCTGTGTGCTGGGAACCACGCGTCTCCATTCCTGTACAAGTCTGCACGTTGGGGTCACGTTGTGCAAGTACCTGAGGTGCGCCTGACATCCGTCCTCTGTGCTGCTGGTTAGCCATCCCCCCAGGACAGCTGGGCTTTGAGGCTTGAGGAGCTCCATTTTCTGCCACACCTACCTCCATATTTGTCATCTTCCGGTCCCACGTTGATGATGGGCTGGGGCTTGGAGCTGGGCTGGAGCAGGGCTCCACCTGTGGCACATCACTGGGAGTGGAACCAGGCTGCCATGGTGCAGAATGCTTGTATGTTCAAGTCCTCCCCAGCTGTATAGACCAGGGTGGGCAGAAGGGCTAAGCAGAAATACCCGAGGCCTGGCTCACGGCCTGGATGCTGCAAGTTCCTGCTGCAGCAGAGAAGTCTCTTAATGAGGCTACTTTCCAGAAAGCCCACTTAGCAAGGGGCTGCCAGTCGTGCTGCAGAGACTGACAAGGACTGGCTGGGCTCTGAGGAGCAGGTGCCTAATGAGGTTAACACCTGTGGGCCTCTGTGGTGCTCCACAGAGTTGGCCTAATGACGCCAGTGGCATTTCAAAGGCAGGGCTCTATGGGGCCAGGAGTCCAAGTAATGAGGGGATGCAGGGCTGGGGCAGATCTGTCCAATGGGAGGTAGAACAGATGTGAAACTGCTCAGTAAGGTCAGCAGCCTGGTGCCACCCGCAGTGATGGCCTCAGCAGGCCTGGCCACCCGCAAGGACCACAGGACCCTGACTCCTCCAGGCAACAGGACAGGAGGAAGAGTGTGCAGAGGGCTGTATCCGAGGGGCCCTGCTGAACAGCGAAGATGACCACCGAGGCCTCGCAGTGTCGGCTCCGATGAGTGCTGGGCACATGCTCAATATCTTCTGGCCCACAGACTTTGCTCCAAGCAGCCTTTTGAACCAAACCATTTGCGCCTCCTTGCTTTACAAAAGCAAGGACATGAGGAGCAAGAGGACTTGTGTCAGTTCTGTCCTTTGAGGATGCCCTGGCGGCTTCTCCCACCTGACAGGAGAACCACAACCCATGTCACTCTGGTGCCCTGCGAAGCTTGAGCCCCCCCCCCCACCACCACCTCCCAGCACAGTCCAGCGTGGAGGGCGGGTGCTGAGGGTGTGCATGCTGCTCGTCCTGCCAGTTTCTGTGCATTCTTTCCAACCAGATGCAGAGAAGGCTTAAGTGGCCTCTGCTGACGGCACATTTTTGATGATAGATTGCTCTGCAGCATGAAGTGCTCTGCTCAGAAGTCATATAGAGCACTGAGTGACACTCCTACAGCTTCTACTTAGATATTTGAAAAGCCTTCTCAGCATGCAGAACTATAAAAAAAAATTGATTCTGAGTCTTGATTCACTCTTGCAGTAAAATTCATCCTCGGATTTGTGAACCATTAAATTCCTATCCATTTCACCAAGTGTGTTTTCAATGAAGCTTGCCTTTTGGGTTTAATAATTATTAAAAAATTATAATGTTACTAATAATTATAGTATCAAACCAATTGTTCGCTACATTTTATAACAAAATTTATAATCTCAGTGTAGAAGTCTTTTTTTAAATAAAAGTTAAATCTTCCATCACAGAAAACTAAACATTTTAATTTCAGTCCATAAATATATTCTGTGACAGAGAAGTAGGATAGGGCAAGCCACAAAAGACTTCCAATCAAGAAAACTGTAGGGCTGGGGAGATGGCTCAGTAGAATAAGCACTTGGCTGGCAAGCACAAGAGCCCGAGTTCTGCCAAAATTCCTGGTTCTGCCAAAAAAAAAAAAAAAGAAAAAGAGAAAGAAAACTGTGACTCAACAATTTTGTAGGGGCAGTGGAAGGAAGAGACAGGTTAGAGAGAGGGACTGCTTCGAGGCTTCCACCTGTTAGCAAAGGCCTGGCTCTTGGCATTTTGGACAGATGAGGCTGGGTATTAAATAACTGCAGTGTTTAGGTTCCATGTGATGTATTATAAAGTATTATGGCAGTTTTATTTTAGAATGTAAATATCAAATGCTAGAAATCACATCCTTTATATCTTAAAACTTCATTAAATGCCAAGTTAAGAATGTGCAGGATGAGATCCATCATTTTAGGCCCTCGTTCAAACCAATGGCCTGGTGGCTTCTTTCTGGAGTCCAGTTACCTGCCTGGAGGGGGATGGGGGTAGGAGACAAATCGGAAACAGCCCGAGAGGTCTCTGTCCCTGCAGAGTCAGGGGTTTTCACTGCTGGGGCAGCCAAACGCTTTGTCCATGCTGACTGGGTCAGCTGCCTTGGTTGGCGCCAGCAGCAGGTTTCAACCTGAGGCACAACAAGGGACCTACAGGTGCTCTGAGGACAATGACCCTAGCCATACCACAGGTGAGAGAGGAAGGCCCAGCCCAGCCAGGGCCAGTACCCCCTAGGGAGGGGGGACATGGTCTTGTCCTGCAGAGGCTGCCCCCATCTTGGGCTCATACCCCCCTCAAATTCTGGTCATGTGACCTGTGGGAGGCCAATTCCAGAGGTGTGTTTTATTTCACAGAGAGCATGGGGGAGGCTGAGACCTAGCCAATGAGGAGCTGGGCATTAATTCTCATCACCAGATACACTATCTCTACCCACCCCTTCCTCCTACCCATTCACTTATGCTCCTTATTTGTGTGTGTGTGTGTGTGTGTGTGTGTGTGTGTGTGTGTGTGTGTGTGTTATGTATCTGGTTGGCCTAAGGGTGTGGCTCTGGCCTGCCTCTCCCTTCTCACCTGCCTGTCCATCCCCAATCTGAGGACTGGCCTGAACGGAGGTCCCACGGAGGAGGCAGCACCCTAGCTGCAGGCCCAGGAGCAGGATGGCTGGGGAGAGGGAGAGAGCCCGCTAGGGGTAGAGTGCAAAGGAGGCTTCTCTGGTTGACAGTCCCTGGATGAAGCCAGGCAGAGAGCCCCTGACTTCCCAGCTGCAGGGGGCACCCCTGAGTGTGAGCAGGGGCTCTGGGCCCTGGGGCTGGGGTAGTGAGTCATGTGACTTGGGCAGGCCTTTTCCCTGCAGCTTCAGCTTCTTCATCTGTGAGAGTGGCTGTGGTGAAGATCCGTCAGGAGAAGTTTGGATGGGCAAGTACATTAAGACACCTGCCCTGCTCTTACTGGGCATCCCCATGGTGACCCTCTTGCATAGACTTGACTTGCAGGCTGCAGCAGGCACTGTATCCCTCAGAGTTCCTCTCCACTCAACACAGCTTCTTGCCAGGCTGAAGGGCTGGTCTCTCCTCTTCCTTCTGCATCCCTGGGGCCATGCAAGGAGGGAGAAGAAGGAGGATGGTGGGGAGCTGCCTCTGGTGGGGTCACAGTGGGTGAGTGACAGCAGTCACACAGCAGCTGTCTGTTTGATGCTGTGGAAGCTGATCCTCGTGGGTGATGTGGGAATGGACATGGCCCGGGCCACGGGCACTCTGAGGGAGTGATGGTCCTGCCAGCGGTGCCACCTCTTCCTCACAGCTGAGCGCACCTGTGGGAATGGAGAGGCTCAGTCACCCAGGGCTGCCCCTCTCCCCTGGAGAGTTTTTCTAGGGGGCCAGAGGCAGCTCCCACACTGAGTAGCTCCCTTCCCCGACCCTGTTGCCCCTTCTTTGCAGCTGCTTTTGGGGCTCCCTTGCCCATTCCTGTGCAGAAGCCGGACCCCCACACACTGCTCCACGGTGTCCTTGTGAATTTTCCCGCTTCCTCTGGGCACTCTGCCACCTCCAAGAGCACCACAGGCAGGACCAGAGGCTTGGGAAATGTATCCCTTTAGTCCTCTTGGGCCTCGCACTGCTCCCACCATGCTGGAAGTAAGGTCCTCCTCTGGAAGGACCTCTCCCTGCACCCCGGGACCCCATCCTTCCCACAGCATGAACTTTCTGAGGCAGGGAGCTAATGGCTCTGTTCACTTCCTCACCTAGAGCTGCTCAGAATATTACAAGGGAACAGTTCTATAAAATGGATCCATTTCTACATCCCAGCCATTAATGTTGCTAAAGCATGTCTTGTGGGCTTCAGAAGCCCCTCGTGACTCTGCCCACCAGCCTGCAGAGCCAGTCTCTCCTGCTGGACTCCTGGCCTAGCAGCAGACAGGCCCCACATGTAGCTGTGTGGACACATATCACTGCCCTCTACAGTTGCCAGCCAAATGGCTCCAGGGACATTGTGTTCTTCTGGGGTGCCTGGAAGCTCCCAGGCCCCAGGCTGTGTCCATTCTTTGCAGCAGGGCCCATGGAGGTCCTCACCCACCACCAGGTGGCCATGTGTCTCCCATGCCCTTGGTGCCAGGGTCCTTAGTTGAGCAGGCCTCAGTGCTCCCTTGAGCTGGAGCCCCCCACCCAGATGTGTGCCCTCTTCCGTGGTGGGGGAAGGCACGGCACAGAGTCCATGAAGGCCTGCGTGGCAGACACCTCACCTTCTGGAGGCTTCCTCCTGTCACCTCAGCTCTGGCTTCTCTCTGCCTTATCGCCTGCAGCCTGGACACCCTTCTCACCTGCTCTGCCATGCATGCAAGGGCCCCTGGGGTCTGCTAGTTCTGGCCTGTGGTGGGTGTTCTAATCTGCCTCCAGGCCCTGGTGGAAGAGACATGTTCCCCAAAGGCTGGGCAGTTTCTCAGGCCTCCCTTCCCTCCTCCTGCATGCAGCTGAGCTTTCCCAGATGGCTGGTGTCTGAGGAAGGACCCCTAGAGTCCAGGCCACCCCGAGCACCCAGCCTCATACCTCTCCATTGAAGAAACAGTAGAAGATAGACACGAAGAAACCCTAGGAAGCAAGGAGGGAGTCATCAGGGACCATGGGGGAGCCTGTGCCGGGGGGTGGGGTCAGAATAGAATGGGCGAGGGCCCACACTGGCCCATAACTCCAGGACCAGAGCTGGATAGAGTCAGAGCTACGTACTTCCCATAGAGTGCAGTCACCTTGGGGTCCTCCCCTCCCACCAGATTGAGGCTGGGATCTCAGCCTAAATGTTTGATGGCCTGTCCCAGGGCAGTAAATAGGGTTGCAGCCACCTTGACTCTCAGAAGTGCTCGGATCTCTGAACCTTGGGGTGGGGGTGACAAGGCTCAGCCCAGGGCCACACCTGGCACCAGACCGAGTTCTGAGTCAGTGTGCATGCGCTCTTGTGTCTCAGCGTATGTGTGTATAACTGAACCACACACACTGGCCAAGCAACTAGGCCCTGGAGTCAGGCATGCTCTCTGCACAGATCCCACCTGGAAGGACTGCAGGAAGGAGTTGAAGTAGATGAACACGATCTGCGACAGGTCATCGTCACCAGGGTTGACAAAGAAGAGCATGTAGGTGATACCCAGCAGGGGCAGGAGGACCAGGGTAGCCTTCACCGCTTTTCTGGGGGCGGGGCAAGAGAGCAATGAGGAGCCTGAGCCCACACTGCAGGCAGACCCCCCAGGTGGGATGAGGGGGACTCCAGGGCACTTCTTATGGGAGGCTGAAAGCTCCCTGGGTGAGAACTCCCAGGGTTCTCCCTGGTGGCAGGAGGGTGGCCCGGGTGATCCCACACTGCTCCCCTGCAGAGGCACCCAGGGTTCATGTACCTGTACTGCATTGTCTCGGAGGTGGTAGATGCTCGTAATTTTGTCATGAGGATCCTGACTATGTTGAACAGAAACACAAAATTGATCTGGAAGGAAGAAGAGAGGGGAAAAAAGAAAGGTTCTGAGTGGGGTGTTGAGAGGCAGTGCCCTCTCCCAGAGCCCCACCTCCCTGGCGCTCACTTGTCACCCAGAACCTGCCCAGTGTCCCCACCTCTGCCTCTCCCCAACCTGGACAGGGAGATGCTGTTTCCCTTCAGGGCCTACATTTACTCTCAGGCCCAAGGTAGAAAAGGCAGCCTCTAAGGTGGGGGTGGGGCAAGAGGCCACTCTTCTGGGGACCCCTCGAAGGCCTGGTCTGAGTAGTGGGACTCAGGCCCCTCCTTGTCTGTTGCATTCATCTTGAGAAACTGGTGCATATACACACTGCACCTTGATCATCTTTTCTTCCCTGGGAGTTAGCAGGGGCTCTAAGAGGTAACCCCTGTTGTAAAAGGTCTGGAATCCATTTAGGGGGGCAGTCACTGGTGATGGGGTGACCAGTGTCAGAGAGGTTTGGATAGGTAGGGGAATAAGGGACAGAGCATTTAATTTATCCATAGACAACTTACAGACGGATCCCTGGGCTCTGTCTAGAAGGAACTAGCTGGCTTGCAGTGGACCGTCTTGGTGGGAGAATGGATGCCCCTAGGGACCACCAGCAGCATCCAGAAGGGGTTGGAGCTTCTCAGCACCCCCTTTGCCATCTGAGAGGCCCCACAGCTGGCACTAGTGGGTCAGGAGTCACAGTAAGATAGAGAGTGGCTAACTAGCCTGTATCGTGACTCTTTGGGATGAGATGTGGGATGTTCTAGAAGGGTTGGTCTCACAGATCCCCTTGGCAATGCCTGGGATGCCCTGGTGCTCCCTCTTCTGGTTCTGTTAGTCTTCTGTACCCAGGGTGAGCCCAAATCTCACCCTGAGGTGGGGTGAGCCAGGTGCCCACAGGGCTGCCAAACACTTTCTACCCATGGCCTTGGCCTAGTGGTGGTGCTGAAGGTGGAGCCTGCAACCTGCTGCCAGCCAGCTCCACGGGGCCCGTCATTGCTACATGTGGCCCAGGGTGACAGTGAGTCCACCCACTAGGCCCTGCCTCCAGGGCTCCCTCATGCACAGAGGTTTACAAGCGTTGACTCATTTACTACTCTTCACAGACCCCATGAAACAGCACTGATTATATATATCCATTCTATGGATCGCAAGTCTGAGGTTTCAAAAGGTCAAATCTTATGTGTAGGTCACAGCTGTAAAGCTGAGTATCTAGGCTGGCAATGTCAGATGCAATGATCCACGCTCCATCCCTGAGTCTCCTTCTGCCCAGGTCTGTACTGGGGTGGGGGTGGGGTGTATAGGAACCCACGGAGGACACTGCATCAAGGTCCTAATTTGCAGTCTGGAAAGCCTGGAGACCCTGCACCATGCTGAGACCCAGCCAGGGAACCAGGGCCTTAACAGTGTGCGCTGGGGTCTCACACTCACCGGCCTCTCACTAAGGTCTTTTCAGCCCTGCCCGGGAGATGCACTGGCCAGATGAGAGTGATTAATAACTTTGTTGCTGAAGGAGTGATTGATTTCTCACCACCCACCCCACACGCAGGAGCTCCACAGCCCTGTGGGGACACTCTAGGGTGGGAAGATGAATGGGCAGCCCGAGGTGCGGGGTTTCTGAAAGGACCTCGTTTATCTTCATTCTGAGCCTCCCCCAGCCTCTGGCCCTCTGCCCATAAGTTGATGCCTGAGTCAGCTTCCTGACTCATGTGGGCTGAGGCCTGCTAGGTGTTGGCTGGTCCCTGTGGTTGTGTGCTGCCTCACTGTTCCCTCTGCTATGGTCCTTGGGCCTAATCTAGTATGTGGGTGGGCCTGAGTTTCTCTTTACCTGCTTCCTTGTGCAGGCAGACTGGAATGGGACTCTTCTCCAAGTGCTCACAGGCAAGATGGGAGACCTAAGTTAGTCCAGGGATGTCTGCAGGCTAACACACACACACACACACACACACACACACACACAGTCCTCCGAGTCTCTGTCTAGAAAATCCATGGGTATGGGGGACACAGGCAGACATCATGGGACTTCAAACCTGTAGCCACTGGGTCACCCTCAGGCTGAACAATGGCTTAGGGAAAAGAGCACTAACATTACAGTTTGTGGCCTGGTGAGGGCAGGGGCAGGGGCTGGGGAGTTGGGGGGAGCCTTTGATGAGGCTGCCCATGCCTGTTGCCTGCTTTCCCACAAAGGTCACTTCACTTCAAGCTCCTGAGTTTCTGGTATATTTCTGAGGACCATGGGGCACAAGCAACCTTAACATATTGGTCAACCCTATGTAATATGAAGTACCTGGCCTTTCTGACTCAGTAGACTTTTAGAATCAAAATATATTCTCATCTTTATCACATTCCCTTGTATCAACTATTACTCAACTCACTTGCCAATTCATTGGATTATCCGCCCACTCTTATACATCTAGCCTTCTACCCACCAATTAGTTCATTGAATTATTCATCTGTTATTCCAACCATGCATCCATGCATCCAAGCACCCATCCATCCATCCATCCATCCATCCATCCATCCATCCATCCATCCATCCATCCATCTATCCATCCATGCATCTATTCATCCATTCATCCACCCATCCATTCATCCACCCATCCATTCATCTATCCATCCATGCATGCATCCATCCATCCAAGCATTTATCCATCCATCCATCCATCCATCCATCCACTCATCCATCCATCCATCCATCCATCCAAGCATCCATCCATGCATGCATCCAAGCATCCATCCATCCATCCATCCATCCACCCACCCACAGGTGGCCCTTAAGCACCCCATTTGATGTAAGTTTTTATCACTATGCTGAGCAGGACCAGAGGCAGAGTCTAGAGTGGAGCATCTGGGGGACAGTACATCACCCTTCTCATGCCATGCAAGCACTTAGTGAAGTTGCCCTTGGCCCAGCTCAGCCTGAAAGGCCTTCTGTCCTTTGAGGCCATGTCCCACCTCCCCCTTTATGTGCCTGTGCAAGCTTGTCACACACTTTTTCTCTCTCTCTCCAGGAAGTCCTCTGATCACTCCAGCCCATGCCAAGCCCTTTGTTCTCTCGTCTTAGTTGCCCTCTTCCTTGCCTGCCGAACATTCCAGTTCATAAGGGAGCACTGGCTCTTGTGCCTTGACTTGGTTCAGCTTGGTTTCTAGCTTTAATTATTTTTTCATTTAATGAATCAACTCACCACCTGCTGGGCTCTGCTTTGGGCCTCACAGAGGGGAAAAGGATGTGCAGACGTGGCCTCTGCTTGTGGACGGTTTGTAGTCTAGCTGGGGAAGGGCAAGTGTGGGGAGCTTGAGTAACAAGTTTCTTAGGGTCCCAGAAAGGCCTGGGGAGATGGCACAAAAGGTGTGAACTGAAGATGAGGCCACGCTAGCAGCTGGTGGTGGGGAGTGTGGTCCAGGCAGAGTGGAGGCCACAGGTGAAAGTTTCCTGATGTGAGAGGACCCCAGCCCCTGCGTGGTGGCCATGTGGCTTTGGTGATGCTATGGGGCAACACAGCGGGGAAAGCCTAGAGAGAGATGAAACATGGTAACGAAGCCAGGAAAATCCACTTCCTGCTGTGACCACCCTCCCACACCACCTAGGGGTGGTGCTGTGGTGCAGGGGAGGCCGGCACCCCGAGGTGCTCTGCCTTGCACCAGCTGCTCTTCCTGCTGACACTCTGGTCGCGGTGGCTCAGTCCTAGTGGCACTTTGGTTCCTTGGGGGAAGTAGCTTTGTTGTCCTAGGGTGGGTAGTGGGCCTAGCCAGAGCATCAGACCATTATGTGATCTTGTGACTGCAGGACTGGAGATTTCAGACTGCCCTGCATTAGGATGGGCTGTGGAGGCCTCGTGCTTCCCTGCATGGACCCAGGGCATACACCCCTCCCGGAGCTGCTCCTCACACTGCATGACTATTCCCTATGCAACTACTTTTACAAGCAGGTGTGATCATTAGTTCCATTTCACAGATGCACAAACTGAGGTTCAGTAGGCTGTGTGACTTGCCCGGGCCACCAAGTTAGTAGGGGATGATGTCAGGACTGTCACTGAGGCAGCTGGCTCTCAGCAGCCTTCTTCTAACCCCAGTACAGCTGCTTTTGCAGGAGTGAGGAAACACAGCCCAGGCAGAAGGAGCCAGTCCTGTCAGGCTCCAGGGTTTTAGCAGCTCCCACCTGAGGTCTGAGCTCAGGAGGTGCTAAGACCATCAGCATGTGGTCCTGAGCCCATGGCAAGCAGCAGGTGTCCCACTGGCCCTCCCTTGCCACTGTGAGGCTGGGGTGGCATTCCTGTGCTACGGGTGGGAAATTAAGGCACCAAAAGGGCAGATATGCCTCAGGATCACACCACAAACCAAGAGGGGCACTGTTCTGCTTGGTCCACGATGCCCCACCGAGCACCCCTTGCCCACAGCCACCCAAGGCCCAGCTTTCAGGTTCTTACCCTCCACTGCTCCGCCATGTCGGGGTCTGCAGCAGAGTTGCTCAGGCTCTGCTCTGCCTCAGACTCCTGCCGCCCAGCCCCAGCCCGGCCTCACCAGAGGTGAATTCACTCCAGGGCTCAAGGGCATCATGCCTGCCCGTCCCACAAAGATAGGTAGAAAAGGGCTTCCTGGCAGCCTGGTTACCAGCCTGCCTCAGAGCCTCTGGGAGACAGGTCCTCCTGGACACCTCATGTTTTCCCTTCTGATGGCATTTTCAAGGGAGGCCTCAAAGGCTTGGATCTTGAGCCCTGCTATGTGCAGGGCCCTGACCAGGCCATGGAGAAAGCCAGACAAAACACCTCCCCACCTGCAGCTCCTCATGCTCAGGACCCAGAGCATGCACAGCAATGCATCTGGGTGCTGGTGACAAGTGCAGGTCCCCAGACCTGCCTCTGAAACTGGGGCAGCTAAGGTGTCCTGGGGGACACTGAACTCAGAGCTGCTGTCCTGGAACACATGGCCCAAGCTTCCTCCAGGCAGGCCTGACATACCACACCCTGCCGGAGATGTCCAGCCTGGCTCCCCTGGGCCTGTGTTCACACGCAGGGGACAGCGCCCAGATGTAGGCTACCTGGAGTCACAGGAGCTAGAATGTTCTCTGAGTGAGAACAGGGAGGTCTGGGGTGCAGCAGTCTAGTGTCCTGGGGGCAACCCCAGTAGGGAGGGATGGTGGGGCAGGCTTAGCAAGTCAGCTTCCCTATCTTCAAGGGGACAATCTTAGGACCTGTGTACCTGTCTCCTCAGGGGGCTGGGTGGGGTTCACCCTGCACAACTTGGAGCTAGCCTACTTGTCGCCTCCCCCCCAGGTTTCTTCCCTTCCAACCCCTTGCCCTGTGTTCCTCTCCAATGACTGGCACCAAATCCTGGTCTCCTGGTTCAGATTCCACTTGTTTTGATATGCATTTGTGTTCACTTTCAGTAAGTTGCTTGTCCTCTCTGAGCTGGGCTTTCCTGTCTGGTGGGAAGGAGCACAGAGCTTGCCTTGAGGGTCTGCACGTGGTTGCATATTCATGCAGGCCTCTACACCTCGGTCCCTCCTAATGAATGCCATAGTCTTTTCCCATGACAATAACCAGCGAGAAGCCAGGCTTCCTGCAAACTCTGTCAGAACTCAGAAAGAAATGAGCATCTCTTAGCAGCAGAAACAGCTGGGGAGAGCAGGGGTGGCAAGTGTGCCGACCACACCTCCGATCAAGAGCACAGCTGGCAGAGGGCAGCGACAGGGCGAGAGGTCTGCCCTGAGCTCAGGCCTCTCACTGTGTGTGGCAGGCAGCTCGGGTCAGTTCTGTTCCTTCACTTGCAATCCCTACTTCTTTTGGGCCTCCTAGATGGAGGATTCAAAGGCACATAGTGGGCTTGTGGAAGGCCCCAGCTTGGAGCCTGCAAGCCCAAATTCCCTGTGTGCCAGCAACGGCTTGGGACACAGCGTCCCCTGCTCTTGTCCCTTTTCCTTCTTGCTTCCTCATGACTTTCTCCATATCTTCACAGCAGGGAGCACTCATGCCTTATCAGGCCAGGGTTTCTCAGCTGGGTCCCAGGTTCCACTCAGTCCTTGTCTTTCTCCCATTGGCTCTGGCAGCTGGCTGGGAGGGAACGGATCTTCCAGGGTTTCCATTCACACTGAGGCCAGTGACTCACAGCAGCCTGGAGTCCAAGGCCAGTCCTCCCCCACACCCTGCTCATGAGGACTATTTCTGTCTAGAAGGGTGAGAAACCCTGACAGTGAATTCTAGGCAGTGGGTGAAAACCCTTCCTAGTAATCATCCGCTCACATGGACCAAGGACACTCCTGAGATGGGACCCAGTGAATCCTGGAAGTCACAGAAAGGAGGAGAACAAGGAGACAGATAAACAGTAATTGTCTCCATGGTAGACAAAAGCCAGCCTCACGAGGCACCTGCTGTGTGCACAGGAGGACTCACTCTCTCCAAGTTTCCCAGAGGCACCCTGGCCCTTTAAGGAAGCTGGTACATTACCAGAGCCTGAAATTACCAAGCCTGAAATAGGCCTTACATAAATGCCAATTTCTTAGGGGGCTTTTTTGTATTTTTTTTTAATGTATGATATATAATGGGTTCTTTTCGCACAATGTGGCCTCTACTTAAATTCTATGTTAATTAAAGCTCGTTGTGATTTAAAGACGTGGTGGCAGTTATAACTTAGATGCGAATACACTCAGCAAAGGGCGGGGAGCTGGACAGGGAACAATTGCTCATTATGCGGCTTTCCTTCGGGAATCTGCTGCTCCAGGCTGGGGGTGGGGGGTGGGGCCCTGGAGGGGGCTGCTCTCTAGGGGCAGAGAGGAAGGGAGGGCTGGGCTGAGTGGCTGAGCGGAAGCCCACACACCCTCCTCTCTTCTCCAGCTGCCTGCCCACCTGTACCTGGTCAGGGTGCCTGGACATCAGAGCAAGGAAGGCACTAGAAATCTACCTGTCAGACCTTTTCTCCATCCCCAGAAAGAAGCTGATGTCCAAAGAGGCAGAGTACAGAGACTGAGGAGGGGAGAGTTGGGATGTGGAGAAGAGAGGAGGTGCATGTAGGAGTGAGGCAGCACCCAGCGTGGGTGTGGGGTCCCCCAGGCCACCTCTGCAGTGCCTCTGTCTGGGTGGGGCTCTGCCCCTTGGAGCACCTACCAGGAGCACCAGGATGATGGGGCCTTGGTAGATGTAGTCCACCAGGTCACCAGGCTCCTTGCCAAACCAGCACCTGCAAAGACAGGGTGAACTGTGGGTGGGGAACTTCTCCCCAAGTGGCACCAGTGCCCTCTGGCTTGTTCCGGTCTCAGCTCCATTTCCAGGGCTGCTTTCCCAGGATGCCATGGTGTGCAGTCCCTGGCCCACCAGCCACCCCAGCTGGGCCCCTGGGCTTTGTTTTCACATGCACAGTAGGTCTGGTTTCCCAGAAGGCCTGAGGGCAGGCTTGGGGCTCCTCCTCAGCTCTCTGCTCCACTGCTGGCCAAGGCTGGGCATACAGGAGGCACAGGGACGAGAGGTGAGCTGGGCATTCTCGTACTGGCCAGGGCCTAACTGCAATCCATTCCCACACTGCTCGAACCTGCTGCTCCACGTGGCAAACACCAAGTGACACAAGGAGCAGAGGTGGAGCTGGAGTGCCCCTCCAGCCTGGGCCCTGTCCTCCGGCTTTTGAGCTGAGCTGCACACACCCAGGGAAGGGAGCCTGCTGCCTGGCTGAACTCCCTGTCCACCAGAGGCTTGGTTTACTCTTCAAGGATGCTAATTGGGAAGATGCATTACTGTCTAGAGGGAGTACAGGCACAAGTTTCAGTCTGGCTATGCCAGAAACAACTAGACTCTGGGGAAGATTCATCAGGTTTGGTGATGGTATATCCTGTAGCTAGTGCACACCAGCAGAAATCTTCTACTGCTCTCTAGCATCCATTTCTAGTCTCTACTTGAATACCTCCTTTAACAAGAAGCTCACTGCCTACCATGGCAGCCCTCCTGGTGTTGGGCAGCCCAACATTAGGGCTCCATTCTTGCCCTTACCCCTTCAATCCAATCTGGTTTCTGCAGCCCTTGTGACTCTTGGAGATCCTCACACAGAGACTTAGGCTCTCCAGTGCCCCTCCTCTCACCTTCTGGGACTTGACTTCCTGTTTGCTCCTAGGCTGGCCTGTGACTCAATACACCAGCCTCTGGTGCAGGGAGCACCCTGGCACAGGACACTGCTCCCAGGCACACACTGGGATGTCTAAGAACAAGCTCTTGGTGGGCTCCAGCCTCCACTGTCATCCACTGAGGCCTCAGTCCAGCTCCAAGGAGCACACCCCAAAGGCCAACAGGCTTCTGCACATGGAGCCCTTAGAGAAATCACAATCTCTAATTGAATCCAGCAGACCAAACTGCCTTAAGACTTACCATATGAGTACTTCTGGGTGTAGAGACATTTCTGTCCATCTAAGGACAAGAGGAACAGAAGCCCATTCAGGCCTGGCTAAGCTCCCACCCCTGGCAGAGCCACAGCCCTAGGCTGACCTGTCTACATCCCAGTGCCCTATGCAGCTGCCCTACTTACTGTTCATCTTCGTAATAGAGTTTGCCAATGGCCCAGGCAACAATGATGGGGCAGGGGACACCTGCAAGAAGAACAGATGTAGGCTGCAAGAGACAGATAATGGAAAAGGGACCCTCTTGTAGGACTCAGAGGAGGGGACATGGGGGCCTTGGATCATGTTTCTGCTCTTCTAGCTGTGGCCCATCAGTGACCCTAGGTGACCATTGGCTCTACTCTCAGCCTACTCCCACATGCACAGGATGGTGCCATGATTTCTGAGGGTTCAGGACAGAAGTGGAGCCAGCCAGTTGCTCTTTAGAAGCCAGAGGCATCCACTGGGTGGCTCAGGCAGATAAGGAGAGCTATCTGTGGGAAATCCTTGGGGGGAGTCTCAGCTCCTTCCTTGTCAGCATGGAGGAAGTAAGTGGTTGAATCCTGGGGCTGCTCTGGGGAGGCAGTGAAGGCTGCATCTCAGACCCCAGATGAAGGGAGATGACCTTCAGCCCAGACCCCCTATGAGGGCCCGGGACCCTCACACCATCCAACGAAGAGGAAGATCCACTTGCGCAGGCGCTCAGTGGAGTAGGTCATGACGATGGCCGTGTGCAGGTAGCAGCCTTCCACAAACATCCAGAAGAAGTTGGTGACCACAAAGTAGTTGAAGACTGTGGTGATGCAGCGACACCAGACCTGCACACAGAACAGGGGTGTCAGGAGCTTCCTGGAGCCCAGGTGGGCCAGGACCCCAGGCAGGGCAGCCTGGCCCCTACTTGGAGAGGTTCACCGGCCACAGCCCTTGCCCTCTAGGATGGAGTTAAGGCACCACTGCCCTTGGTCCCAATGTGCTTTCTGGAGTCATCTTCCAGCCCTAGTGAGTCTGGCTGCTTCCCACAGGGAGGGAATACGAGCTTCACCCAGACTCAACAGCAGCAGAGGGAGTGAAGTGCTCACATGAGGGTGGGGTTCTCAAGCAGCACTGGGGACTTCAGGTGCGAAGGGTGCAGCACTTGCTCCACTAGCTCTGGGGCTGCTGGGAGTTTGCTGCCCTCTCTGAGCCTTGCTGGGCAGTGAAAGAAAAGGAAAGATGGCACAGACAGGCACCACATATGTGCTGTGTTGGGCTCAGGGCTGCCGCATGTCTCCCCCCCAGGGTTGTGCCCCTGTACCCGAGAGTAAGGTGGCCCTCCTGAGCACCTGCGCTGGGATACAGGAAACTGAAGAGCCTGACCAGAGCCACACAGGGCGAGGGTCCAGCCATAGCCTTCCGGGCCTGAACTTGCCAACCATCACCAGGATTTGTCTCCAGGGACTTTGGGGCCTCAGGATGGTAGAGATGCAGCCATGCAGTACAGGCCAGCTTGGGACCTGGGGACCCTTGGGACACCCACTACTTTCCTGTCCAGCTCTGATGCCCTGACCTGTTGTGTAATCCTCCTGTGCTGAGCTGTCAGCTGCTCTGTGGCTTTGTCGCACAGCCCGTGCCCACATCCTGGGTCATGGTGCTATCTGCCTCCTTGGTTCTGGGGAGTTCTGCTGAGGTGGGAGGCTAATAGTCCCTCTTCCCAACTTGGCCTGTTCTCCAAGCTATGCTATGTCTCATTAATACATACCAGTACTGGGCCTGGAAGGGCTCAGTGTCTGACTGTACTTGTTTGGTCCTGTGGCAGGGCCAGTATAAGGGCCAAAGCAGGCCGGGTCCCTGCTCAGGTTCAGGCCAAGCTAAGAAAATGGTTAAGAATTTGCCAAGAAAACAGTGTGCCAAAGACCTGCGTGATGTCATGCTAGTCCACTGCCTGACAATGATGGGCCCATAGCATAGTAGCAGTTTATGAAATGGCCCATGATGCGAGGGCATCAGCACAGCAAGTGACCTTGGAGAGTCACTTAAGCTCTGAGCTGCAGTTTGTGCAACTGTGTAATAAGGACAACATCCCAACTTGCCTCATTGGCATCAAGTGAGATAAAGCTCAATAGAAGTTTGCCAGGCACCCTTTCTTAAGAGGGGAAGGGCACGGTGTAAATTTGTCTGCTCTCAGGTAAGCAGTCAGGCCCTGGCTTCCCTGACCCTGGAAGAACAATGCCTGGGGTGGGGGTGAGCTCAAGTCTGGTTTGCACCTGAGGGTCAAGCAGAGAGCCCCCCCCCCCCCCCCACGAGCCCAGAGCCCCCAGCCCAGCCCAAGCTTCCAAACAGTGACCTCGTTGCTCTCGTGCACTTCGTGGTCAATGAGCTGCAGCAGGAACCACATGACATTTCGCAGGATGAAGGTGGTGACAAGGTTCCAGTGGATCACATTCCGCAGGCAGCGGATGCTCCTGGGGGAGGCCAGGTGAGCCCAGGTGAGCCAGGCCAGGTCCCTGGGGTCAGAGCTCCTACATGGCTGGGGTTAGCGACCACATGGGTTAGAGGCCCAGCAGAGACTCAACCTATGGTGGAGGGGGTGCTGCATGGGAACCAAGGCCACTACCCCCCTGGTGGCCCTGGTTGGACCTGCTTTGTGCCCACGTGCCTGCTGGTGACCAGTGTCTGGGCACCCAACCCAACCCTCTCTGTCCACTGGTCCTAGGACCTTGGGGGAGGGGAGAATGCCTGAGAGAGATGGGGATGAGGAGAGAGTGGAGCAGGAGCAGACTCACCGCAAGGCCAGGAAAAGCAGGAAGGCTGCCACCAGGGCTACCATGGAAACGCAGTGGCCCAGGTAGTTGACCACGAGGGCAATGCGGTAGTGAAGGTCATACTTCCTCTGCTGGACAGAAAACAGTCATGGCAGGGGGAGGCATAGGTACAGAGCACAGACTGGGCCTTAGCTTTGGGAGCCAGAGAAGCTTTGTGCGTCCCTCTACTCCCATGCCTGGATCCTGGAACTTCTTGTAGTGGGCCCTGGTGGCTCTAGGCATAAACTGTCACAATCAGCTGTCCCAATATGCATTTTGGGGGCACATTAGGATACAGTCCTAATGGATGATTCTGAGATAGCTCAGAGAAGTAGACACAGAGTTGGAAAAGAAAAATCTAGACTGCAATGCTCTATCTACCTGCTCATCCCTGAGCTAGCTGAGCAACTGAGGCTGAGCTGGACCTCAGTTTTGACATCTGTAGAGTGGGGCCAACCTGCTCTCCTGACTCAGGAGCAGGGACAGAGGGAAGTCCGGGGTGCATGCAGATGGGTCTGTCCATGCAGCTATGCTGAACAGCCTGTCTGCAGAGCACTTAGGAATGCTATTCAGACCAACTAGGTTAGCTCACTTTGCATTGTCACCAACCGCTGCCGATTCTAGACAAAATGGCACAAGACTGCAGTTGTAGAGAAAGCCGGAGCAGGCCCCACCTTCCCATGGTGAGAGCCCTTGGGGCCACACTCCTTCCCCAGTGGAGTCACTGACTCAGAGTGCCAGGTGGGGAAACTGAGGCTCAGCAGCACATGGTCTCTAGCAGTGGGAGAGCACTGGGCCCATGGTCAGCCTCTGTTTGTGTCCTGTGTCACCCTGGCTAAGCTGTTCACCAGCCCAAGCCACCTGGAGGTGGAACTGCATGCCCCCCTTCCTGACTCCCAACCACAGCATCACAGGGCAAAAGATGGAGCAGAGGGGCAGGGCTGGAAGTGCACAGGGAGTAGCTGGGTGACAGGAGGATGGGCTCTGCCACCCTAGAGATGCTCTACACTCAACCTGAGACCCAATACCTGTAGGGCTGGGACAGGTGGGGCTACTTACCTTGTCATCCAAAATGGGCTCACAGTGTGAGTAGTTGATCTTTGAGGCCCACGTCCCGTTCTCCAAGCATTCTCGATAGGCATTTCCTACAGAAGATGCCAACCAAGAGTCAGGTCACGTCCCTCATCAAGAACACTCTCTGACTCTCTAGTGCCCGCAGGATGAAGTCCACATTCTTTAATTTCCCTGAGCCTGGAAACACAATGTGTGTCTGAAAGTTTCTATCTAAGTTGATTATGTGAAAGTTGCACAAGTGGCTTACCTTACATATTAGCTAAAGAATATGTTAATACTGGGCCAGGGAGATAGCTCAGCGGTCTAAGTGCAAGGACGTGTGTTCGATTCCCAGTACCACATGCCATGTCAGCCCCTCACCAAGTGGTAGTTCAGCATGTAGTCCCACCACTGGGGAGGCTGAAAGAGGAGGATCATTATAAGTCTGAGCTGCACAGAGAGACCTTGTACCAAATAAATGAATGAACACCTGGCGCTGGTACTACAGGTGTGCACCACCATGCCCAGTTTCCATGGCCAGCATGGCACAGCACACCTAAGGTTCTGAGGCCAGCATGGCGTGTATTACCAGAGATCAAATCTGGGTCCTTATGCTTGTGCTTAGACTGCCGAGCTATCTCCCCAGCCTGTTAATACCTGTTTTACATACAGTCTTTCATTACCTCTTTGTACTTTCTTTCCTTTTGCATTTTGCTGCAAAGCCAAACCCAACTGTGATCATTGGGTTATGGCTGAAGATTTGTTGCTTTTTAGTGTAACAAAGAATTGCCACCCTTGCCTTAGTCATTTTACAAGACATCCTTTCACCAATATCAGCAGCCATGTTTTTATAGTATCTACCACCTGTAAAGCCATGTTTCCATGTACCATGTCTTCTTCCTGCACTCAGTCCTTACCAAATGGCTGCTGATAGGATGAGCGCATCTTACCGAGGAGGAGACCAAGGCAAAAGCGAGGCTACTTGCCGCATACACGTGTGGAAAGATGACAAAAGGATTCCAGCCCAGCAGGTCTTGATAAGTTGTGGCAAATGGCAAGGAGGGAAATTTAGGGACACGAGGCTGTGTGCCTGTCTTGGAGGTCCCGCTGCCAGGGAGACCCTATGGTGTCTTTAGGTATTTGAGAGCCAGCATTTATATCAAAGCTGGAATGAGACACGTGAGAAGGCCTTTTGGAGCAGCGGTGGATCCGGTGCCCAAGTACAGGTTTTATCAGAGGGCAGTGTGGGAAGGTTGAAAAATGTGCACACTTGCCTTTCTTTCCATCCTAGCTCTTATTGTGAAGGTAGAGCTCCCAAGCCACTCCCTGCAGAGAGCCCACCCTCAGCCTTCTGAGAGGTCCCTCCCACAGAGAAGGGGGTCCAGCTCTGCATGTCTTCCGCCTCTCCAGCTTGATTGTGGATTCAGAGCAATCACTGTTGGGGTGCTTTGGGCCAGGGCTTTGCCCTCTAGCTGATGGCAGCTGCTGTGGAGCTTCTTCTTGGCTTACATTAGATACACAATATAAAGCTAATTAAAACAAATCACTCACAGAGCACAGAGTTACCGAGCTGGAGGGGGGACCTGAGATTGTTTTTGGAAGCAGTGAGTTCTAAAATAATTAAGTTATTTAAAAACTCCACTTCTGTTGAGCTGATGATGAGGTAAAAGCAATAGAATCATGGAGGAACACTTGGCGAAGAGCAGAAACAATGGGAGAGATTCTATTAGCTTAATTGTTCTTTAATTTGGTGCTCGGAGCACATAAGATTCAGGGTTGGCAGTGGCCTAGCAGCGCAAGACATGGCATCTGGTTGGGTCCAGTGAGTCTGTTGAGGACTTCCTGGTTTCACACTGATTCTGACCCTGAAAAACAGAACCATTCGTTGTCTCTGCCTGTCCACCTGGCTTTCCTCATGGGTTCTGAGCACCTAAAACCTGGGGCTGTCTTTCTCAGGACACTGGAGCTCCTGAGAAGGAGGGGCTACTTCAACCTGTAAGGCTGGTGATGTCATTGAACAAGGCAGTGAAGGGGTCTGGGAGGGGCAGGTCTTTTTGTCAAATGCACCTTGGGCCCTAAAGTCCCTTTGAACAGGTCTCTATGGTGCAAGGTAGACCTCATTCCTGGCTGTGACTGAAAGGGCAGAAAACCTTTATCATCTTGAAAAGTACTTATAAATGTTTCTGAAGTTCTGTGCTAGGCTACTTCCTCCAGGGAAGCTTCTCTGATGGCTCACACTTGATGGCTGGAGCCCTGCATTCCAGCCCTGGCCTACAGCCAACACTGAGGGATCCATGGGGAGGAGTCTGCTATTACCAATAAGATGGGGGGTTCTGGAGAGGAAAGCTCAGCATGCCTCCTTCCCAGGCATGAGACCTCATGGTGACTCTGCCCACAGAGTACATTTGTGGATAAGAGTGGCCTGGGTGGGGAGGCAGCCATGGGGGCCTCTTCTGTCCTTGCATTGACCCTCTAGAGGGCCCAAGGTCTGTGCATTCTGGTACCTCCTTTTCTTTTTCTGGAGTCTGCTCCCTCTGCCCACCCACCCCACAGTCCTCTCTCTGGTCCTCTTGCATGGATCAGCACGATATCCTCCTTTCTTGCCTCTCTGCATCTTCCAATCCCTCAACCATGATTTTTCCTGCTTAAATGTCACTAGTGCTTCTTTATTGTCCTCAAGAATAAAGTCTAACTACCTCATCTTGACACCAAGGCCTGAATGCCTGGCCCCATGTCTACTACTCCACATCCAACGGAGAATTGCACTAACAGGCTTAGAAAACAACACAGACCGACTGCATACTAACCCATCCTTGAAGCATCTTCTTCATACTCATTGCTCACAGATACATTTCTACCTATCTTTTATACCCCAACTCAAATCTCACCTCCTCGGTGGGCCCTGGCCCAGCACCCAAGGTCTGAAGCAATCCCCTTGTTTTTCCTATAAGAACTTCCTTCTTCTATATATTCCCATATTTTAGAATGCAGGCTTTTATACTTCATTGACCTTGAACTATAGGAACACCTTTTGTATCACACTTCCCTTCTTATTTGAATCCAGTTTCATAAAGCAAAATTTATCTTGACAACAGCTCTCGTGTTTTCTTCTCTATGCTGCTTTCTAACACATTCTATTCATTTCATATACAAATGCTGGTCACGACCCACTAACTCGATTTCACAGTCCACTATTATTCTATGATTCATAGTCTGAAATGTCAAAAAGTATGTTAGAGCATTCACCATAATTCACTACGGACTTTATCTATTTGGACCCAATTCTTTCTACTGGACTTGAGCTCCCTGGGGACAGAGAAGTAGCCAGAGACCAGACTGGATCATTGAGTCCTTCCTCAGGAGCTAGGCAGTGGGTCCATGTGGGCTATATCAGACTCATTTAGACCTGCGGAACTCTGGGCAGGAGGGTGTGTGGTGTGGGATGTGAGGATGGGAGGGGCGTCTCTCTGGAGGTGCAGCTCTAGCTGGGGACGAGGCAGTGGAGAACTCAAAGACAGATGTGTTTGTCCTTTGATGGAGCAGTCTGGTGTTGCTAATGAGGGTGCCAAGGCCTCAGGCACAGCTGTGGACAGAAGTGAGCAAGGCCCCCACCCTGTCCCCAGAACCACAGGAGGATGGGCATGGAAAGCCTGAGGGCAGGCGGCCAGGACAGAATTGTGGGACTGAATGCAGTGAGGTAAGTGCCTGTTACCACAGCAACACAGGCGTCCCTGCCGAAGATCGATGCCAATAGTGTGCGGAGTGGCCTGCTGGGGGCATTAGGGTCTGTCTGATGCAGGCAGGGTCTTCTTTTGCAAAGCTCTGTGGTTTAGGAAGACTGATCCCTGTCCCCAGAGTGGCCAGAGTCTGTGGCAAGTTGCTGGAGCACAATTGTTCTCCATTCAGACACCAATGTTTCTGGCTCAGACCGTCATTTGGAGAAGCTCAGATTCTGGCTAAAGATGGGAGCCTGTAATCTAGCCATGATTTCTTCTGTGGCTGACTAGGTAACCATGGGAAGTACTTTCCCTATTGCTCTCAGTTTCCCCTCTAAGAAAAATAATGTAAGTTGGTTCCCAATGGAGCTATTTGCATCATGGGAGTTTACTCCGAATTCACTAAATCCCAAGCCACTGTGACAACTCCCCAAATCCCTACATTACTGGCACCTCCATTTCTGACCATCTTTCTGGCAAGACATGGGGCGTGGGAAATAGATACTCTGAAGGACCATTTCTGATTATAGTTATGGGAGGAAAAGAGAGGTTGGCAAGAGAGAAAGAGTAAGTCAGGCTGTGTTGTTGGTGAGGTGGCAATATAGATTATTGGATATCTGGCAAGAAAATGACAAGAAGATGATTGCAGAGGTGCGGAGCAATTATTTACTGCAGGCATGAGGTCAGAATTTTCAGAACCATGGACAGCAACAGTACTCTGGCTCTAGCGCTCACCATCACCTTGTGGAGAGCTCCTGAAAATTTGCCTCCTACCTGGTGGTCATGTCACTGCTCTGTGGCCAATTCAAAGTCAAACTGATTCATATCTCTCTTAAGACTTGTATCAGCTCCAGTTCCTCCACTGGCTTCCATGATGGCCCCAAGCCTCCCTGAGGGTCCACTTGCCCACTTTCATTTGGCTCACGCTGGGCTGGGATTATTCTCCTGTTGACTCCTATAAAGAAGTCATGTTTTCCCATCCAGCCTGGAGGCTCCCTGGGGTTTGAATTTACCTTCCTCTGCACTACCAGGCTGAGATTTCCTACGAGTTGCTTTCCCTTGTTCTTTCTTAAGCAATGCACACAGCTTAGCACAAATCATCCTCAGGATGGACCAAAGCTGATGTTGTTTAGGTTGCCAAGGGAGTCAATGAGGACAAAATGCTAAGGGCACACCAGGAGGACAGTATACCTCCTTGGGTGCCCAGGCTCTACCAAGCTGCATGGCAAAGCAAAAGCCATCTAACACATGCACAGGAGGCATCTGGGTCTCTCTCACACATCCCACTGCTAGGCCAACCCTGCTGCCAAAACTTCAGCCACTGCAGTCCAACCCATACTGAGAAGAGGATCAGTCTCAAATAAAAAATCCGAGGG